AGATGGGAGTATTTTAAAGCTTATTCTGGTTTTTTGATCATTAATCTTGTGGGTCATAAGATGGCAGAACCTCAATGTCCTGAGAATTGGACACTGGAACTCAGAAAAGCAAACATCACTCTTTTTTGATTCATGTGAGAATGCCAAAGGGAAATGAATACTAAAGCAAGAGTATAGCTCTCAGTTTGTCATTTGGGGGAGGGGGTCAGGACTGGGGAATTAAACCGAGTGTCTTATGCATGCTAAGCTATATCTCCAGCCCAGGTTTGTAACTATTACAGGAAAGCATTTGAAATGAAGCCTGTAGTATAAAATGGAAAATATTGCTGGTAAAAAAAATTCAATTTTTTTTTTTGGGGGGGGGTTCTGGGGATAGAACCCAAGGCCTTATGCATGCTAAGTATGTGCTCTACCACTAAACTGTACCCACAGCTCCCAAATTCAGTATTTAGATACACTGTTTCTAAGCCTCCCATAGTTGAAGCCTCCTCGTGATTCAACATTATTTTGACCTTTTGTTCCAGTGTAGCAATCCAGTGAGAGTTCAGTTGTTTGTGGTACATGTTGAAGGCTGCCATTTTCAAACTTTCTATGTTGTCTCCAGTTGCTCAGGCAAATAGCAGGTGTATTTTAAAGTGTCCTGGGACAGAAATTAGTTACAGAAATTCAAATTGCAATCAGTGCAATATGGTAAGGTAGAGAGAATTACAGAGTTGATGGGCAGTGAAATGAGTGTCCTAGCTAAAACAAGTCCATTTGCACACAAGTTTATTATGAATAGATGGTGACTTTGGCTACAATTTGGGATGCTTTAATGCTTTTCAAGACTCTTGTCCTAAAGATCACAGGAAGCTATAGACAAAGAAAGGAAGAATAAGGAGAGGAAATTTCGCTAGATCAAATAGAAAGAACTGGAAGGCATGCCAGGTTTCTGTAGCCCTGGAGGTAAATCCAGGAAAGTCAGCTAAAGGTTGGCTTTTTTTTTTTTTTAAGATTTGAGATTTTTTAAAAATTAATAGTACCATGTGCTTTTTACAATGCCAAAGGGATACCTCTGATAGAGATGGGATCCCCTACAGCAACTTTCAGGTTCTTGGTAAAACACATGCATTTTCTTGATTTTATTTAAAAAATAGTGAAGCTTACAGAGCAACTGCCTACACATCCACCTGTCCTTGGTCTTCATTGTCCTTGCAGTTTCATGGCCATATTTAACATTATTTCAGGGGCTGCCTCATTTGATATGAGAGAAAAACAGTCACAGCTAACAAAGGGAGGAAGTGACAAAGATTTCAGGCTTAATTCTGCAAAAGATACTAGAAATCAGAACCAAGCTCTTGTAATTGACTGCAAGTCTTGCTGAAAGTATCTGGAAGGGTAAGTCATGTGTGTCTCCTGGAACAACTTGTGGGGAGGGTGAACCCTGCCCCTGCCCAGGAGGGATCCCACCTTTGCCACCTGTTTCTTCTTTCTAGAACCTCCTAGAGAGTAAGTTGGCTTTGTAAGGACCTTGCCACAGAGATGGTCAACTCTGCTCCCCACCATTGTGGTACTGGGGATTGAAACTGGGGATGCTCTACCACTTTTTAAAATTTTGAGACAGGGTCTTGCTAAATTGCCTAGGCTGGCCTTGTACTTGCAATCCTCCTGCATCAGCCTCCAGAGTGGCTGGGATTACACCACACTCAGCTCTGGTCAACACTTCTTCTAGAGGCAAAATAGTTGCCAGTGTATAGAAGCCAGGGCAGCCCTGGTTTTTCTTTATCTCCCCTTCAGTCACCATTGTGGCCTGTGATTGTAGACTCTGAACTACAGGACCTAAACAGTTCCTGGTTTTCATCAGGTGTGTCGTATGCACAGGCAGGTGGGTCAGTTTCCACAGAGAACATCCAATATACCAGTGGAAAGTATCTGAGTTAAATTCTTAGCATGATTGCCTTGGTGACTTAAACAGCAACTCCACCCACTCTTCTACTCAGGTGGGACTTCTCGCTCAAGCCTACAGGTATGACAGTGCTCATTCTACTTCATTAAAACTATCCAATTTCTTCCTAACTTTGGYGCACAGAATTCTAGAGTGTCAAAGATGTTGTATCTTTTTTTGGGGGGAGGTACTGGGGATTGAATTCAGGGGAACTTGACCACTGAGCCATATCCCCAGCCCTATTTTRTATTTTATTTAAAGATAGGGTCTCACTGAGTTGCTTAGAGCTTAGCTTTTTGCTGAGGCTGGGTTTTGAACTTGTGATCCTCCTGCCTCAGCCTTCCTAGCCACTGGGATTACAGGTGTGTGCCACTGCACCTGACTCAAAGGTGTTGTATCTTAATCTCTGATTTAATAAGAGAACACAAGTGAAGTTATGACTTGACCAAACTCTTTGCCCACATTTTCCTTCTAAATCTGCCTTATTAGAGGTGCACCACAAGACCTCATCTTTAAAGTCCTAGGGTATTTATTGTCAAAATCTACATATCTCAGGGCTGGAGGCATAGAGCTCAGTGTTAGAGTACATATTYAGTATGTTCAAGGCCCTGAATTCAATCCCCAGCATCAAATGAAACCCCAAAATAAACAAAATCCCCAAACCCCCTACATACCTCAGTTACGTACTCTTTAGTATTACTTACTTGTTGCACCTCCACACCCAGCATAAGTATGAGTTTCTTAAGCTATTTCTTTTTCTGTAGGACTACACTGACTTAAGTGCTATTACCCCCATTTTATTTATTTTATTACCCCCAGGTGTGGAAACTGAGGCTCTGTACGATTAAATAGATTGTCCATTCTTACCCTACTACAAAGTCTGATCTAGGTTATACATACAGTTTTGTCTGTTTCCAAAGCCCACATTTTTATTATTTCTAAGTTTATTTTGAAAAATTAAAAACCTACAGAAAAGTTTTAAGAATGGTACTATGGGGTCAGGGGCTGTAGTTCAGTGGCAGAGTGCTTGCCTAGCATTTGTGAGGCACTGGGTTCGAACCTTAGCACCATATAAAAATAAACAAAATRAAGGCATGCAGTCCGTGTACAACTACAAAAAAACTTTTTTAAAAAGAATATGAATAGGGACTGGGGATGTGGCTCAGCGGTAGCGCGCTCGCCTGGCATGCGTGCGGCCCGGGTTCGATCCTCAGCACCACATACCAACAAAGATGTGGTGTCCGCTGAGAACTAAAAAATAAATATTAAAAATTAAAAAAAAAAAAGAATATGAATATAAATAACCATATGTCATTGCTCTCAATTCACTAATTTTTTCCATTTGCAAAGCCTACATTTTTCTTTTTTTCCCCCCCCTTTGTCAAATGGGTCTCACTGTGTTGCTCAGGATGGCCTCCAACTCCTGCACTCAAGGGATCCTCCTACCTCACCCTCTGGAGTGGGAGGCTCATATTACCATGCTGGCTCAAAGTCCACATTTTTTTTTTTTTTTTTTTGGCTGTACTGGAGATTGAACTCAGCACCTTGTACATGCTAGGTGAGCTCTCTCTAGGTTAACATTTTGAAGCAGGTTCTTACCAAGTTGCCCAGGCTGGCCTTGAATTTGTGATTCCCTTGAGTAGCTGGGATTATAGGCATTTGCCACAATGCCTGGCTTTAAGCCCACATTCTAGCACTGAGCTATATCCCCAGCCTTTTAGAGACTTAAGCCCATATTCTAAATCACTGTACCATTTATTAGTTATATTACAATCTTACACACATACACAACCCACATGTTTTTTTTTTTTTAAAGAGAAATTTTAATCTTTATTTTTTAGTTTTCGGCAGACACAACATCTTTGTATGTGGTGCTGAGGACCGAACCGGGCCACACGCATGCCAGRCGAGTGCRCTACCGCTTGAGCCACATCCCCAGCCCCAACCCACATGTTTTTAWTTTCAGCTGTAAGAGTATAAAAATATCTGTCCTGAGGGCTTCAAATGTGTTAGTTTTCTGTTGCTGAGACCAAATACCCAAGATAAAACAACTCTGAAGTAGTGAAGTTTTATTTTGGCTTATAGTTTCAGAGGTTTCAGTTCATAGTTGCTTGTCCTGAWGCAGAATAGCACATCAAGGCTGGAGTGCATGGTGAAAGAAGATTGCTCACCTCATAGCAACTGGGAAGCAGAGAGAGAGAGGGGTAGGAGAGAGATGCTGGGGTCTCATAGCCCCTTCAAGGGCCTTCCCCCAATGAGCTAACTTCCTTCCAGTAGGCCCCACCTCTTAAATGTCCCCATAGCACCACGGACTGATGAGTGGGCCTCTAGCATGTGGGTTGGGGAACATTTAAGATTCAAACCATAAGCATTAATGAAATGCAGTGAAATAATGGGTTTATTCWTTCAGCAAATATTTATTGAGATCCTACCATCCTGGATTGAGTACCAGGCATTGTCTTGGGCCCAGACAAAGCACAGTCCATACCCTTAAAGAGTTTAGAGTGAGGTGAGTAAGGGCAGACAATAAAGAACTCTCCAGCTACAGGAAATCTGAACACCAAGGATGAAATTTTTGAACAGAGTGGTACTGGGAAGAACTAGAAAGGCTTCCTGGAGGAGGTAACCTCTGGCCTGAGGCCCTTCCCACAAGAGGGAGTGACCCATGAAAAAAGGGGGGAGGAGCGGTTTAACCTGGCAAGAGTAGCTACTGAACWTTTCAGTATCCAACTTAGCATGGAAGATTGAGGAATTTCCTTTTGTGGAAATTGGTTTTAGAAGAGAGCGCATGAATTCAGACTAGACATTAATCTGATAAAAGACCAGGCCAGTTGAGTTTTCAGTCTGTCTTAGCTTTGCACATTTATAATTTTTCTTCACAGGACACTGCAAGTATCAATTTCTGGAAAATAATCTTTGTGAAAGTGTCTTGAATTCCTTGGCATGTAACTTGAATTTCCTTTTAAGTGTATATATTTTAATATTAATAAATTGTTATGTTAGCTAATGGTACTTGCTATCCAAACAAGTCTGATCTGTTTCTGGAGTCTCAATAATATTTTTGTTTCTAATTAAGAAATTGGATGAAGACTTGCATCAAAAAATTGCCCGGGAGATGAACCTCTCTGAAACTGCTTTTATCCAAAAACTGAACCCAACAGACAACTTCACACAAAGTAAATATGCATTTTTTTTCTTACCCTCTTGAATGGCACCAGAAGTTCCTTTTTGGGAGGGAATGATTTTATGTAAGGGAAATTCTCATTTATTATTTGTATGCAGATAGTAGATCTAGAAGATTCTGATTTGCTTTTTGGTTCATCTCAGGTAAAGGGTATGCTATGGTTTAAATGTGTCACCCCCAGATGAGTTAGCTCATTGGGGGCAGGCCCTTGAAGGGGCTATGAGACCCCAGCATCTYCAATAATTCATGTATTAGAAACTGAATTCCCAATGCAAATGTTGCGGGTAGGGACTAATGAAAGGTGATGGATTAATGTCATTATTGTGGGAGTGGGTTCATTGTCTCAAGAATGAACTTCTTATAGAAGTAAGTTTGGTCCCATCTTGCTCAAGTGCTCATGCATATGAGTTTTCTTGCATGTCTGCCTTCAGCTGTGGGATGATGCAGCAAAAAGGCCCTTATCAGTCATAGGYCCCGTGACCTTGCACTTCCCAGCCTCCTCAACTATAAGAATTAAATTTATTTTCTTTATAAATTACCCAACATATGGCATTCCATTGTAACAATACAAAATGGACTAGGAGGGTGTTTGGTGAACCTGAATGTTTCAGCTCCAGATCTAGAGCCAGGGGCCCTGGGATGCTGGTCTAGCCTGCACTCATCCTTTCACAACGAGTTTTGGTATTAATCATGCTAGTGATGTATTTAGGAAAGAAGAAAATGAAAAGTTTGCAATCTGCTCTTAGAGGAATAACCTTGTCTCTGTTTGACTTTTCCTCCTCTGAAGGTTCCTGCTTTGGACTAAGGTGGTTCACACCAGCGAGTGAGGTCCCGCTCTGTGGTCATGCCACCCTGGCATCTTCAGCTGTGCTGTTTTACAAAATAAGTAATGTGAATTTCTTTAATGAACCTATCACTTAGCTATAGCAAATATACATTTTTAAAAATTCTCATCCACTCTTT